CTATGGCGTCCATGCTAATTACTCTCAGTGTACAACCTCTTCATCAGTTCTCTCTGTCACGTACTGTAAGAATCTTGTTTAAGAATATCTCATTGATGTCATTTTACGCAGTTTTTCTTTTGCTAAATTTTGTTTTGTTTTCGGATTCTTTTTATTGTTTCATGCATTGGTATTTTTCTAAGGCAGTTGTTATTCGGGTTAGTTCATTAGGTCTGTTGTTTTTCTGTTGCTGAGGTTCCTGTTTTTTGTCTGTTACTCCAATTATTAGCTCTCATTTGTTGTTGTTTGTTGCTGTTGTATCTTTCTGTTGACTAAGGCTCCCGTTAATCATCTTGTTGCTTCATCTCACCTGTCTCCAACTGTTGCAGCACCTATCACTTCCCCTGTTGCAGCACCTTCTTGTCATACTCCAACTGTTGCAAAATCCTTAACGTTCCCCTGTTGATAGAATTCCTGTTGATCTTTCCGTTCCTCAACCCTCTTTATTATCCCTGTTGTTGCTGAAGCATCTGTAACTCTCTCTGTTTCCTGAGACTCCCTGTTAATCTTCCCGTTGCCACAAAGCCCTCTTAACTCTCCCTGTTAAATCTAAAACTCACTCTGTTAACTCTTGTTCCTTCTACTAACACTAACGCGTTAAACCTCGTCCGTTGTTGTTCTAAGTGAGAGACGAATTCCTTAAATCACTCGACGATATATACACCAACCTTTACAGCCACGCTAAGTAAATACTTTATCTCCTAGGCAGATCGACAGGTCTGGCCAAGAGGTACAGGCCTGAGTGGTCTACGATTAGGTGTATTGTATCAGTAAATCAAACTCTTAGATTGATATAATTAGTCTTGCCGGCATAAAAGGATCTGATACTCCTCCTACCAAACATACACATTCTTGATACTCCTTATGTAGTTTTATAAGTTGATAATTAATTTACGTGTGCCGGAGGGAACAAAAAAATAACCACTTTTCACTGATCCGATATTGGTGTGTGGAAATCTGTTTATTTTCATCTTGATTCTTCCTTTGGATTCCTTTCATGATTCTAGATTCTCATGATGGCTTTGATACGGGTAATTGATGTGATTCTTTTTTTGTGATTTTGGTTGGCTTGATTTACTTAAATATTCTTACACGAGATATTTCTGTATTCATTCACTGTACTTTGATGTTTGGCGAACCCTAATTTGTATTGTCAAACTCGGATTACGGTTCAGTTTTCCGTTCATCCTCTGAGCTGTAGTATGAATATGGACTATTAATATCCATAGGTACTATTAACTGGATAGGATTCAGGGGTTTATCCATGCAATGCTGCGTGTGTGTGTGTGTGTTTGTGTGTGTGTGTGTGAGAGATATAAGATCATTAACTCCATAATTCTCTCTTGTTAAGTTTATTGTTATGCAAGTAAGGAAAATAAATCACCTTTGTTCTTTTTATTTTTTTTTAAGTTTCTTATTTATTTTTGTTTTCTTATTAAGGTATTGTTCTTTTGATCATTTAATTTATGATTTTAATGTTGTTTTTTCTGTCTTTACAGGTGAGTGTGATGGAGTGCTGCCATAGGGGGTATAGTCCTCATACTGGCCAATCAGGTGAGGAGAGGTGGAGGGTGTAGGTGAAGGACAGGTGAGAGAGAGAGAGAGAGAGAGAGAGAGAGAGAGAGAGAGAGAGAGAGAGAGAGAGAGAGAGAGAGAGACAGTCATTTTTTTTCCGTAGGAGAAAATTTTCACAAAGACTAATTCAAACACGTGTAATATCCACTCACTTGTCTGTCCTCGGCTGTAAACAACTTAAGTACGAGTATTTAACATTACTCTATCCAGTTTTAACTTTGTGTGTCGTGGGAGCTCAGTTCAAATTATCTTTAAGATAGTCGGCTAAAGATTAACACTCCCTTGTTAAGATTTTAAAGTCAACCTCCCTCTGCGCTGGTGTTCTTCTGGCATAAAGGAGAACACGAGCACGGCGTACCTGGGAGATTGAACCTATATTTACACACACAACATTAAAGCTAACGACCTGCTGTGTGCTCCCCATGCCCCCCTCCCCCCCCACACACACACACACTAGCTCTGTGAAACGTGTCGGTCTCTTCCTCCTCCTCCTCCAAGCCTCGTCTTAACGTTCTCCTTCTTCCTCTTCCTCTTCGTCTTCCTTCTATTCTTCCTCTTCTTCTTTCATATCCTTTACTTCATCCTCCTCTTCCACCTCTTCCACGTTTCTTATGCCTCTTGTTACACCTCTGCCATTTTCTCCTCCTCTTCCTTCTCCTCATTTTCTTCCGCCTCCTCTTCCTTCTTCTTCTTCCTCTTCCTCCTTTAGACTAACCAAGATTTTTTCCTCTGTGCACATGTACCCAACAGCTCCTCCCCCCCCCTCCGTCTTACTTAACCTTACCTCCCGAGTGTCCCTCTACCTTCTTCCTCTTCCTCTTCCTCTTCCATCCACTTAGCGGGTCTTACCTGTCCGAGCAATCAAGGTAACTTTCAATTCCTGCTTCTCCTCACTCTCTCCTCCTCCACCATTATCCCCGTGGGCCTTCATCCCCCCTAAGATTCCTGTCTTCTTGTCTTCCCAGCTTCCATTTACACACACCCTTTTCTCTCCTTTTCCTTCTCTTCTTTCTCCTTCTCTCCCCATCCCCCTTCTTCTCTGTCCTCTCCATCCCCCTTCTTCTCTTGTCTTTACTACCCTCCCCTTCCCTCACCTCTCCATCCTCTCCTTTTATTCTTCTTCTCTCTCTCCTCCTCTCAGTTTCTTCTCCTCTCTATACTACCTTCCCCTTCCCTCTCCTCTCCATCCTCTCCCTCAATTCTTCCCCCCTCTCTCTCTCTCTCTCTCTCTCTCTCTCTCTCTCTCTCTCTCTCTCCACACTTCCTCCACGCCTACCTCTCCCAGACAGGTTCCCTTGGGGTTGCTTGGTAGTCGTTTCCTCCAGCGCAAAGCCGTCGGGGAAGTTAACATGGGCGACACACCTCACAGCAACCCACTACCACGAGGCTCTACCTGACCAACCAAGAGTATCAGTTGATGTGCTTGTTTTAATGAGTTCCAGGAGCTTCAGTGACCCTTCAGGAGGTTTTTCAATATCGTTCGTCTTTTTTTTAATCATTAGAAACCAACATGTGGATGTTTTAATGGTTTTGGGGTCTTTATGAATCGTTCACTATGTCTTGGTTCCTATATTAGAAAACATCTTAAGGGTTTCAGTGGCCTTCAAGGGGTTTTAAAGACCGTATTACTATGTCTTAGCTTCTGAACTATACAATAGGTCGGGGCTGGATGAGTTGTTGCCTTGATATTGTGGGAGATACTTTCTTTATCTCCCACAATATCAAGGCTACTAGCGTTATCCCTCAACCAAAATTCACCAATGCAAAATTATTCCCCACAAGATCGACGTCGGACACCAACCTCCCGCAAAAACCTAGCGATGTAAAACTGATCTCCTGCAAGATTATCACCACCAGCGACATCTCTCACACCAAAAACCAGTCAGGTGAAAGTTTATCTCCTGCGTTACTCCCTGTCCCCCTACCCCCTCTCTCCCCTTCAAATGCATCAGAAACTCCCAGGCCATATTGGTAGACTCTCAGGACCTGCTATGAGCTGCACCCACTAAGAGGCTTATGGATATCCAGCCTCACGCGTTCCCTCCTAAGACTTTTCATATCGTCTTACCCAGTTATTTGTATTTTTTCTCCAGGTCTAAAAATTTATGCGTTGTTGATAAAAATCTTTAATTTCTCGTATATTTCATTTTTCGCGCATAGATCAAATTTTCCTATTTTTTTCCTCGTAAGGCTGTAGTTCTATATTTCTCCCCTTATATATAGTAATTTCCCCCAGTTTATTCCTTCTCTGAGTTATTGTCTACCTATGTTCCCCCTTTAATACTGTAAACTTCAAAAAATTTTCTTTCAATATATCTAAACGTAGGTCAGTATACATGGATATAATACTAAATACAAACAAGTATACTCATGTTTATACACTAAATATAGATACAAAACAAAATATTCAGATTTATTTTGTATAGAATTATGTAGAACGTAAAATATAGTCGAATTAATGAGTAGTAAAATTAGATCATGAGATGTATTTAAAATCTATATGCACTAAATTTAGAATATTTAGTATGTACAAATATATATAGACCGTAAAGCGAGGTTATAAAACATAGTCCGTGTAAAGGAGATGTTTTAGAGTGAGGCAGCGAGGAAACTCTCGCCCGCCACTGAACTTGTTGTAGCCTTGACCTACTCTCTCTAAAATTAGTTCACTTCTTCCTTTATACACGCAGACACACACACACACACACACACACACACACACACACACACACCACCAAACAACATGAAGAAGACACTATTTCAACAGTCTATTTCACTATCACAAGCTGACGGTCTGTATTTCACGTAACAACCCTTCAGACGAGTGAGTAGGTCTATATCATTAAATACACGATTATACCTCGAGTAATAGTAACAGTTTTACATTATTTTACGAATTAATGAAAATACAAACATCTATTAGCTTCAGGTACAGAAATAAGAATATACCTGTAATTGTATTAATTAAGTAACATAACACAAGGAATCTATGATCAAAATGGTTGGTTGGTTAATAAGTAAGAAGAAACTATTACATTTCACATAATTTGATAATCGTGTCGTATCTCTCCTCTTAGTCTTGCATAACAACAACACGGAGACAACTATTAATTCCTTTACATGACGTTATCCAACAACCAACACTTTATCAGAGTAAATAAAAGTCAGGTTTACTGATCTAGTCTCTTTAGAGGATCTTTTCACATCCGTTTTGTATTTCGTGTATGATTATTTTCAATGGGATTTTTTAATGTCACATAACTAAAAAAAATTCCCACGATTGAACGAAAAAAGTAGATTTTATTGTTATTGGTTTAGTGCATCTTGTGTCTTGGGTTTATTTTTAGTGTTTCCAAGATTTAAAGGAGATAGTCTAATGCATGACACTAGAGGATGTGCCATGACTCGGGAGGATGTGGCATGACACGGGAGGATGTGGCATGACACGGGAGGATGTGGCATGACACGGGAGGATGTGGCATGACACGGGAGGATGTGGCATGACACGGGAGGATGTGGCATGACATGGGAGGATGTGGCATGACACGGGAGGATGTGGCATGACACGGGAGGATGTGGCATGACACGGGAGGATGTGGCATGACACCATGACACACTGACACTATGACAACGTGACACGGGAGGATGTGGCATGACACGGGATGTGGCATGACACGGAGGATGTGGCATGACATGGGAGGATGTGGGCGGGGAGATGGTGCACGGGAGGATGTATGACATGGAGGATGTGGCATGACACGGGAGGATGTGGCATGACACGGGAGGGGATGATGACAGGAGGATGTGGCATGACATACGGGAGGATAATGATGACACGGGGAGGATGTGTGGCATGACACGGGAGGGGTATGACATGACACTGGATGACACGGGAGGATGTGGGCATGACACACTGATGGCATGACACGGGAGGATGGGGGCATGACACGGGAGGATGTGGCATGACACTGGAGGATGTGGTATGACACGGAGGAGGATGTGGGTATGACGGAGGAGGATGATGGGTATGACACTGGAGGATGTGGCATGACACACATGACACTGAGGATGACAGGAGGATGTGGCATGATGTGAGAGACACTGTGGCATGACACGGGAGGATGTGGTATGACACTGGAGGATGTGGCATGGAGGATGTGGCATGACATGGAGGATGTGGCATGACACGGGAGGATGTGCATGACACTAGAGGATGTGCCATGACTCGGGAGGATGTGGCATGACACGGGAGGATGTGGCATGACACGGGAGGATGTGGCATGACACGGGAGGATGTGGCATGACACGGGAGGATGTGGCATGACACGGGAGGATGTGGCATGACATGGGAGGATGTGGCATGACACGGGAGGATGTGGCATGACACGGGAGGATGTGGCATGACACGGGAGGATGTGGCATGACACTGGTGGCTGCTGCATGATACTGTTAGATATGTGTGAGAGTTTTTTTCAGGGACAAATGTTTAAATGTCAAAGTTTTTAAATCCCACAAAACTCACTTAAAATCCAACGTGGGAAACTAACTCTAGTTGTTGCTTTTTAATGAAATTAATTATGCGATTCAGGTTATTAAATCGTCGCTAATTTGGGTTTTGCTGTCATTCCTAAGTCAGAGAGATAATAAACCCTATTTCACACACACACACGCACACACACACACACACACACACACACACACACACACAATGGTCGTGTCACCCCACTCATCGTCAGCTGCTGCACTTACTTGTTAAAACCACCTCCTCGCCTTCTCATTCATCCTGTGGTCCTCCCCTCCGCCTGACACACACACACACACACACACACACACACACACACACACACACACACACACACACGACCTCATTTTTTTCTCGTATTTGGATATTTATCATCATCTTGCTAAACCATCAAGAGAAATACTATTGTTATTTATATTTTATTTTATACACAATTTGTCCTGTTGTTCGTAAATACATAAATAATTCGGTAGTTTTAATGTTATTCATGAAACATCTAGAGTGTCGGCGCGCTGCTCCTCTCTGCAAATATGATATTATTCTGTATGCAAAATTAACCTGGTAACTCAGTGCTGTCAATAAATTGTCTAACAAATAATAATGAGCATTACACTCTTCTCTGTAATTAAGAATTTTATCCTTAAACCTCTATGTTACCCACTTTACCTGACTCATGCAACAGGCTTTTTCACCTCACGCGATATATATTTGTAAATAATTAAAAACTCCCAAACCTTTAGTATAAATATATATATATTGTTTTTAATTTTCTCCGCTTTTGGTCAGAACGTGTGTGTGTCGTGCCTGTCCACCCATTGTGTATCTCCCTGATGAGTGTGTGTGTGTGTGTGTGCTGTGTGGTTCGTAGGGGTGGAGGTGGGGTAGATGAGGTGGAGGTGGGACAAGGGTGTAGAAACCTGCTCTCTCTCTCTCTCTCTCTCCCAACCAAATATATTACGACTGTGGTTCTCGTAAACAGTTGTGTGTATTTGGAACCTTAGCTCCTCTATCGCCCAAAACTATCTCATATATCTCTAGGTAGTGTCAAGGCTGTAATGGCCCGTCGTTAAAAGTTTCTACGATCGTAAGTCTTAAGAAGTGCTCTCAAACGGTTTCTATTCTTGGTCTATGTATGAAAGGACTTTTTTTTAGGACATAGGGATATTTTTAATGTTATGTTCAGTCAAGAGGGAGGTTGACAAGGTGGGCTGAGATGTGTTAATGAGACAATGACGTAGGTATCAGATTATGGTGCGTATTTCTTAATGGTATAATGTGGCACTACTATGGCACTACTATGGCACTACTATGGCACTACTATGGTGAAAATAAATTGGTGTGCCGTAAGTCTGAATGTCGTTAACATATTCTTATACGACAAAAATAAACTTGTAATACAATTGAAAAAATATGTTTACATATCGGTAGACGTGAATGATTCTTAAATCTGTCTAACTTATTATTATAATTTTTAAAATGTCTGATGGACACACTGTCTCTAATGATGATTCCTCTTTTTGTTGTCAGTTGGAGGAGTTTTGCCTCTAGTTTACATTTCTGACGAAGTGAACAAAAAAAAAACCTGGGGAGATTAATTTCATGACATCCTCTCGCCTACCTCCCGGTACATTAAAGATGCAAATGTCAATATATCTGTTTTTTCTCTATTACTATGTCTGTCAGTATGTCTATCTTCGTGTCTAAATGGAAGTGTCTATTTGTACTTCTGTCTGTCTGTTTGTCTGTCTGTGAGATGATAGAGGATGTCAACAGGGTCAAACAGGGAATAACAATGACCTTGGTTTTACTCGGCCTTGATGTTCGCTCTCGGATCATAGGTCAAAAGTTATTAAAGAGGGGTCCGTTAGCTATCAGGGGTGGTTAGACTGGGATAATTAGACGGTACATGTCAGTGGTGTTAATGCTGAATAGCGTTAACCAGATGTGATATGATTGGAAGGTTATAGGTCAAATGGCTCTCTCTCTCTCTCTCTCTCTCTCTCTCTCAACACAGCTAGGATTGCTACTTATGTATTAGGCTATTTAATTTTAAGGTAATAAAATGGCGGCGAAGGTGTGGCTATAGGGGGAGGCTGGAGGCCAATTGTAAAAAAAGTAGTAGTTGTTGTTGTAGTAGTAGCAATAAAAAGAAAGAAAAAAAAGAAAAAAAGTAGTAGCAGTAGTAGTAATTGTTGCTGAAGTTGTAGTATTAGTAATTGTTTTTGTTGTTGTAGTAGTAGTAATTGTTGTTGTTGTAGTTGTAGTAGTTGCAGTAGTAGTTGTTGTTCGGTGGAAGTGAGGTCAAAATAACAAAGGACGGCCAAAGACACCTAGGTGCAGTAATCGGCACGACGGACTTCAAGACCGAGTACGTAACGGGAAAAGTGAATGAGTGGGTTAGGGAAATCCAAGCTCTGTCTGAGATTGCTAACACAGAGCCACATGCGGCTTCTGCGGCATTCACCCATGGAGTCAAGCATCGCTGGAACTACCTGATGCGCACTATCCCTGATATCGAGGGCCCCCTCCTCCACCCTCTGGAAGAAGCTATCAGCGTCAATTTCATTCCCAAATTAGTGAAACACCCTCACTTAACCCCAGCAGAAAGATCACTCCTTGCACTACCGCCGAGACTGGGAGGAATGAGACTACCCAATCCAGAGGAGATTGCTGCCACTGAACACCAAAACTTAGTTAAGCTCACGGCAGCCCTCACGGACGACATAATGGCTCACCATGCAACAGGGGAGGTGGATACTAGTGAAGTAAACAAGATTCGAAGGTCCATTACGACAGAACGACAGCACAGCCAAAGTGATAAGTTGCAGCAACTATTGCTGCAAGTACCAAAGAATTTAAAAAAAAAGTAGCTATAGTGAAGGAGGTGGGCGCCTCGAACTGGTTAACTACATTACCGAAAAGGTCAAATGGTTTCAGTCTTAACAAACAAGAATTTACAGATGCCAATGTTCTAAGGTATGGTGTGCATGAGTCATGACGAAGTAAGGGATCTCAGAGCAAATATGTTGAAGGAATTCTGCCGTGATGTCAGGGTAGAACCGACCCTCCTTCCATTGGACAGTGAGATTTTCCAACATAGGACTTCAAACACATCTAACGAAGCCCGTGTTGACATCAGTGCTCGAGGATTCTGGACGCGAGGACAGCGAGCCTTCTTCGACATCAGGATTTTTGAGCCCATGGCCGCATGTCACCGTAACTTAGCTCCCGATGCTGCACACAAGAGGAACGAGAACGACAAAATAAGGGCATACGGGGAGAGAATTCAGAACGTTGATCAGGGCAGCTTCACTCCTCTGGTGTTCACGACCTCTGGTGGGATGGGACCAAGTGCAAGATTCTTCTACGCCAGACTCGCGGAGGTGTTATCCGAACAGAAGCAGCAGTCCAGAAGTTATGTTACAGCCTGGATGCGATGTCGACTGTCCTTCTCTCTCCTTAGGTCGGCTTTGCTCTGCCTCAGGGGAATGAGAGCATCGGCCCCAAAGCCGACAACAGTTGCAGATATTGACTATGAGGTAACAGTCACTGAATGCCGCATAGATCTGCGGCTCAACTAACTCAACACAGCTAGGATAGCTTCTTATGTATTAGGATATTTAATTTTAAGGTAATAAAATGGCGGCAAAGGTGTGGCTATAGGGGAGGATGGAGGCCAATTATTAAAAAAAAAAGTTGTTGTTGTTGTTGTTGTAGTAGTGTCAGTATTGGTAAGAGTATTAGTAGTCGGATTTATAGTAATAGTAAGTATCTATTCCCAAATATTTACTCTGGTACACTAAACACTATTATACCCCACTTAGTGCAGGGTAAAGCTTTCTAAACGATTTGATGAAGGTAATTCAGAGCTTCACGAGGATAGCAAGTGCTGTTTGTACCCTCGTGGATGATCTTGTTATCCACCAATATCTAAACATCGACCCAGATAACACAATTTTCATCCAGAGTTTTTTTTCGTTATTTTATTTTCGTATTTTCTTTTTCCCCTCTACGTTGTTTCATCATTCTTCCCATTCCCTATTATTCCGCTCCCTCTCCCACTCCATTTTACTCTTCTACCCGTTCATTAGCCCGTCTAGTCCTCTCTACAATCGAGTAACTTCACGTATTTTCCTCCAATGTATTTCTTACACTCCAGGTTTTTGTCCTCCTTGGCCTAGCAGCAGGTCTACATTTTCCTCCACTAGACTCCTATACTCCAAGTTTGGTCTCCATAATCCAAGCTTGAAGGACTCCTATACTCCAAGTTTGGTCTCTATAATCCAAGCTTGAAGGACTCCTATACTCCAAGTTTGGTCTCTATAATCCAAGCTTGAAGGACTCCTATACTCCAAGTTTGGTCTCTATAATCCAAGCTTGAAGGACTCCTATACTCCAAGCTTGAAGGACTCCTATACTCCAAGTTTGGTCTCTATAATCCAAGCTTGAAGGACTCCTATACTCCAAGCTTGGTCTCTATAATCCAAGCTTGAAGGACTCCTATACTCCAAGCTTGGTCTCTATAATCCAATGTTGAAGGACTCCTAACTTCAAAAACCTGGGGTGGTATTCAGAAGCCTGCCACTTGTCTCGATCAAATTCAAGGGTTGAGCATAAGATATAGCAGGAACACCTCCTCCTCCTCCTCCTCCTCCTCCTCCTCTTCTTCTTCCTCTTCCCTTACGCTTTATTCTCCCATGTCCTTCTCTATCCTTCCTCTCCCTCGTCACCTTTCGTCTTCCATCCCCCTTCTCCTTCTCATTGTTTTTAGTCTTCTCTTCCCTCTTTGCTTTCTCTTCCCTCTCGTTTTGCTTTTCATCTCTCTTCCTCCTCTTCCTTCTTCCTCTCATATTCGGTCCCCCACCATTCATCTTCTCCCCTCCTTCGCCTTCCATCCCCCCCCTCCTCCTCAACCTTCCT